TCCCCACGGGCCGGCCCAGTAACGCTTAAGTGAATTGATTTTCATTATTCTTTATTATTTGAAAACAGAAATGGTTTGCAAAATGTTTGGATACTCAAAGTTGCTCCAAATTTGTTGAAACAAATTTTTCTAGGTTCCTTATCACCAGATCTACTTGGAAAAAATTGTGCATGTCATTTTTGAGATACTTTTCTATAGGATTTTATTTAATCTTGAATATTGCTGATAACTTGAAAAATATGTATAAAAATATATAAGCTTCAGAAAAATATGATTCCAAGTTTGTTAATCTTATTATGTCATGTACTTCCTAGGAAAAATATGTTTCATACATGTGCTGTGGGAAAATTTTGAGGTGTAGTTCAAGTACCTTTAATGGCTGATTTTTGTTATTTTTGCTAGAGCACAAATTTTGTATAACACATGCATGTGACAATTTTTGTACAGTGATTATATACTATAAAGAACATAGGAAAAATACTCAATCTGTTGTTTGACACTTTTCATAGTACAAAGTAATTTCATGCTCATTTTTATGCTATAGCTTGTCATTTTTGTGTAGGATAGTTTACTTATCCAAATGCCATGAAAATTTTATGGTAGTCTGCTTATAGTAGTACTATGCTATTGTAATTTTCTTAGATTTTTATAAGCACCAGAAATATAGGGTGCTGTTGTAGCCTTAGTTTCAAAGGAAATAAAATAATCCTCTTTAATGCAAGTTAGTTAATAATGTTAGCTTTGGTGTATCTTTGAAGCATTTAATAAGATGTGTTGACTTAACCTATTAGTAGTAGAAGAGAATGCAGTAGATGACATGTGCTTGTAGTATATTTTCTTAAATGATGTGACTACCTTGCTTTTCAACATATCCATTGCATTCATCTCATTCGATGCACCGATTGCATAGGCACTTACACGCATTGCATCATACAGGATCGCAAATCGAGAACCCAGTCGTCATTCCCGAGGAGCCCGAGGAGCAGTTCGAGGTGCAGCAGCAGGAAGTGCCAGAAGCCTACGAGGAGGACGTTGAAGAACTTCCGGAGTGCCCCGATCACCGTCCGAGCTCCTTCGAGAGAGGCAAGCCCCGGAGCATCTTTCTCCCGGTTTGCAATGATTTCGTTAAATGCTTTACTTTAAATTGATGCATTACGTTCAGGAGTTGTTTGCAACCGTTGCTGCATTATACCTTGTTTACCTTTGTTATACTATATCCTTGTTACCACGGTATCCGCAATCGAGTCAATGCTTAGTCGGCTTAGACCGGTAGAAGAAGTCGGGTGATTTCCTGTCACCTGCGAGCTATAGGTGGTTACACGGATCTGCTTTGGATGGCTATGAAGTCATGGTATAACTAAGTGTTAAATGAAGTTGAGACCGGGCGGAGACTTGCGGTTTTTGGACCGTAGTGTTTCCGTCTCAGGTCAATTAAGGACCGACCGTTGTTGGGCCTCGAGTCATGTTGAACGATGCCTTACATTTAGTTGGCGGATAAAGTACCTTCCGACCGCTGAAGCCGGGAGATTTTTCGGGCGAGTAGATTGCCCAGCATAAGACCGTGTGCAAAGCGGTGTGGTAGGACATGGGGCGGGATGATAAGACCAAAGTGCGGTCGGTCGGCCCCGTACATGTGGTTCTCTGGCAAACTCGAGATACCGAAAATTGACTCGGTGATCAATATCTCACTTTAGCGGGTGAGTGAGATTTGTGTAAGGAATAAATCACCAGCTGGTTAGGAATCGATTCGAATCGCCATCGCTCCTGGATAGTGAGCACTTGACTTGAGTTACTTCATCGTAGTAAATGTTTATGGAACACTTGGACAGTTATAGTGAATATGACAGTATGAAAGTTGTTTAATGATCAGCGGTTATCATTAATTGCTTAATCACATGTTTACTCTAGTATAGATGCAAATCTAGTCGATAGGTTAATAATAATTAAGTTGACAATAATGCCTTTCGAAAAGTTCTTGAAATGCTAAAAATGCTTCTTTCTGCAAATGAGTCAGCTACCCTACTATAAAGCCTTCATAATCCTTGGTGTCAATTATTTTCAGTTATGTCGGGTAAGTCTGGCTGAGTACCTTCTCGTACTCAGGGTTTTATTCCCACTTGTTGCAGATGGGTAGATGTATTACGGCTATTGTATCAACTGCCTTTATCCTGCGATGGGTGATGCTTAGGACCATGGGCATGGTCATTCCTTACGTCTCATCTAATGCTTTTGTTGGAGATGATCATTCGCTGGCACTATATTTAAACTCCGCGTGAGTGTGTGTGTGGTTTGAACAAATGACTTCCGCTACTTTTATTCGAACTGATTTGTAATAACTATGTTTAAACTCTGATGTATCTGAGGTTGCGAACTTTTATGTAATATGTGATGGTGACCGCTAAACTTATTACGATCATGGCTGGGACACGAGTTGGTTTGAAATCCTTTGTGATTTCACGGACTACCGGGTTATACGGGCTTAAGTTTGTTCAATCGTCTGCTCTGGTGGATGATTTTCTTACTTAATTTCGTATAATTGGTCAGTTCTGTTACATTAGCACTACTAATTGGCACACAAAACGTGCATTGATCAATATATTAGCACTTATCAAAACTAATCTTGTCGTCGTATTTACTAATTAATAATTAATGTAACATACTAATAATCCTTAATTTATTCACTGATATCAAAGATTATAAAACATGGATAAGCTCCTCCGCCAGTTTTTTGGTGACCACTGTATTCAACATCTAGTAGGAATATTCCATGTGATGGATATCTATATTCGGCTAACCTGGCCTATTTGTAACACGCATGAATGCAAAATAAAGAAATGAAAAAACAAACAGGAATAGAATATTGAGAAAAATAGAAAACTATATGATTTCAAAACACAGGAATATAAACTTTGGCGTGTTTCGATTGTAGGAAAATAGGAATATCGCTTGTGTCTAAGAAGAGTTTCAGGCTTCAGAACTTGAGAAAACATTACAGAAAATTTTCCTATGGGTTTCTTTGTGATGCTTTGTTTTATGGAGCAACGTTAGGCTTGTGAAGCAAAATGAGTCTTTCCCCTACAAAGGAATGTAGATTTCCTTTTGTTTCAAATAGCAAGTCGAAGATAAAAAAAATAAGTTGAGAAAAACTTTCCTAAAAACTTTATTCCTTTGCTTTTTTCTTGAGAAATCCTTCATTCTAAACAAGGCCAATTTCCATCCAACCAAAGTACCAACGGAGTTGCTAGCGTCCGGACGTCCAATCCAGGCGCTTAGCGTCAGACAAGCGTCGGACGGTGCAAATTCCCGCCCGCACCTCACCATGTCATTTGTACACCTGCCCACACGCCTGACACACCCGCCTAGACGCCTGACCCGGCCCCATCCACGCACCCCCACCCCATCCGTTCGCCCCATCACCCTAGGCGCACCCCCACCCCGTCGTGTCCCCGACCGTTGGCCCTCAGCACGCCCTGCGCCACATCCGCCCCCCACCGGCTCGCCGCGCCCCATTCCCTGACGCTCGCTGACTCCCTAAATAGCATGAAACACTTAATGCAACATACGTCTGAAAAACAGATGAAACATCTGGAACATACACTTGCAACATATGTGTGAAAACATATGCAACGTCCAAATAGAGTAATAGACCACTTGCAACATGAAAACACTTGCTACAACAAAAGACTGAAGCAGATGAAATATTTTGAAACATACTGTTGCAACATATGTGTGAAAACATACACAAAATCCAGATCAAAACGATTGCAACATACGTTTGGAAACAGATGAAACATTTTGAACAAACGCTCTGAAACACTTGAAACATATGCAACATCCCCATCTATTTTTGCAACATTCATATGAAAGAATTGCACATACATATGAAACACCTGAAACATATATACGCAACATAGGGGAGGGAAAGGCTGGCCCGATCGTCGGGGTCGAAGACAGCGGCGAGCGGCTGTGCGCGAGCACCACCGCCACCAGCACCACCAGTACCGGGCTAGGCTCGATGCGACGGTGGGGGATGGGGAGTGAGGAGCGCCCAAGGCCGCCGGGGTGGAGGGAGCTTAGTCGCTTGGGTGAGAGAGGACACCGCCGGTGGTGGGGAGGGTGCCGCGCCGGGGTTGGGGAGAGTTGCCCGCTCCCCTGCAACACCGTCGTGCTACCTCCATGGATCTCGTCGGGGGTGAGAGGAGGATGCCGGGGTGGGCAAGCGAGAGAGGGATAGAGCGGAGCATCAAGGAAGCACCAAGCACGGGAGAGAGGAGCTCGTTGGCAGGCGCCGTGTGTGGAGTGAAGCGGAGCGAGGCAATTCAGCCAGGAGGCGAGCAACGTGTACGGTAGTGAGATATATTTTCTTTCCAACAAGGTAGTGACCGCGTGTTTAGTTATCTGAATTTTGGAATTTGGGCTACTGTAGCACTTTCGTTTTTATTTGGCAATTAGTATTCAATCATGGACTAATTAGGCTTAAAACGTTCGTCTCGCAATTTTCAACCAAACTGTGCAATTAGTTTTTTTCATCTACATTTAATGCTCTATGCACGTATTGCAAGATTCGATGTGATGAATACTGTAGCATTTTTTAGAATTTAGGTTGGAAGTAAACGCGCGCTGAGATAAACCTGAAGAGGAGTCGCTGGCGTCGCAAGCAGTAGCATTATCGAAGTACCAAACGCATCCCAAGTCAAAATCCCGCCTCCGGTACTGACAAGTGGCCCCGCCAGTCCAACTTGAACCAGGTACGTCATCCGCTGACATATCCGCCGGCACGACGCGCTGGCCCACAGTCAGCCACCTAGCTTCATCCCGTCGTACTCGTGAGTCGTGACGCTTCCCATGCCCCCCCTGCGACCCTGCCGGCCTGCCCCCACTCTCCCACTCCAGATCTCCTCGTCCACCCCGTCGCCGTCGTCTTCCTCCTCTCCGGCCGGCCGATGCGTCCCAAACCCTAGCTCCCCCGTCGCAAAACCCTAGATCCCGCCGCCGCCGGCATGGATCCCTCCTCCGGATCCGCGTCCCGCCACGGTCGCCTCCTCATCTCGCCGTCGCTCTCCACCCCGACCTTCTCCACCCGCTCCCCGTCCCCCTCACCCTCACCGGCCGCGTCCCCCGCGCCGCACCACCACCAGGAGCGCCGCAACTCCACGTCCTCCCCGAAGCCCCTGGTCCCCTTCCCGGCCTCCTCTTCCTCCAGCAGGCCCCGCTCCTCCTTCGGCGGCGCGGGGCCCCGCGGCGCCGCGGCGGCGGCCTCGGCCTCGGGCCCGGCGTTCGCCCACAACACGCGCCTCGCGGCGGCGCTGGTGCCCGCCGCGGCCTTCCTTCTCGACCTTGGCGGGCTCCCCGTCTTCGCCGTCCTCGCCATCATCGCGGCGGCGTACCTCCTCGACGCGCTCCAGCTGCGCCAGGGCGCCTTCTTCACCGTCTGGGCGGCGCTGCTCGCGGCCGATGTCGCCTTCTTCTTCTCCGCCTCACTATCGTCTGCTGCTGCCGCCTCGCTGCCGCTCACCGTCCTTGCACTGCTTCTCTGCGCCGAGACCTCCTTCCTTATTGGCGTCTGGGCGTCGCTGCAGTTCCGATGGATCCAGCTCGAGAACCCGACCATTGTTGCTGCCCTTGAGCGGTTGCTCTTTGCCTGTGTGCCCATCGCCGTGCCTGCCCTCTTCACGTGGGCTCTCGTATCTGCGGTCGGCATGGCCAATGCATCCTACTACTTTGCCGCGTTCTGCATGGTGTTCTACTGGCTGTTCTCCATACCCCGTCCGTCTAGCTTCAATAGCCGGAAGCAGGATGCTCCAATGCTGGACAGTGATGGCATTCTTGGCCCCTTGGAGAGCTGTGTGCATTCTCTGTATGTGCTGTTCGTGCGGTGTTGTTCCATGCTGCGTCCCATCATGCCACACTCTTCACATCGTGGGCCAGCGTGTGTGAATTGCTGCTGCTGTTCTTCATACCGTTCTTGTTCCAGCTTTATGCTTCCACTTGGGGTGCACTGTGGTGGATCACCAGGGATGCACGCACAATGGACCAGATAAGAATCGTGAATGGGTTCGTTGCACTGGTCGCGGTGGTGCTTTGCCTTGAGGTGCGAGTTGTGTTCCACGCGTTTGGAAGATACATTCATGCTCCACCACCACTGAATTACCTGCTTGTAACGGTCACGATGCTTGGTGGCGCTTTGGGCCTTGCAGCACATGCTGCGGGCAAGGTTGGGGATGCTGCTAGCTCAGTGGCTTTTACAGGGTTGGCAGTGATAGTCAGTGGAGCAGGAGCTGTAGTCATTGGATTCCCCATGATGGTATGTTGCAGTCTCATTTATGCAATTGGTATCTGCTTATGTGACATTTTGATTTGTTAAAGCTAATGCATGTTGCATGCTACGTTGAACCAAAAAACGTAGTTCTTTGAAATTCATCTTGTATTGTGAAGTTGATATAAGGCTTTGGACTTTTACTAACAATAACTACTGCTTCTGGTCTTGTATGGTACATTTGAGTTTCTCTTCGTTGTCTCTACTCCACATATTTGAGACTAGTTCTACATCAGGTATTAGTAGTAGTGCTTAGATAAATTAGTCAAGGGACTATTGCCCTTATCATTAAGTTAGTACTGCCATTGCTGTCTGTCCATTTTATGTCACATTTGTTACACTATAGATACAGTATGGTTAAACAGTTCTATTAGACTTTACACCAATGATGTGTTTGCTATTTTTCTTGTCTCTTTGTACTGTTGAGGATCTAAGTTCTTATGTTCAATTGGTTCTTGAGCAGCAATATCTTTTGAATTTTAATATCATTAGCTCACATTAGTTTTTTCGTGGATGAATCTGGCAGTTGTCTATGTAGTGAGATCATTATGGTTTGGATCATCTTCAAAAGTTCTGACCACCAAACTGAAGCAACACAGCTTTTTGAAGCTTTTGCTTGATTTATGCCAAATTTTGACATGGATAAATCGAGTAAATTTCACAAACTACACTATTTTTTTTTTAAATATCACAAAACTACAATTTTAAAAGCTAGTTTCATATAACTACACTCTATTGAAACCAATATTGCAAAACTACAGTTTCTAAGATTAACTTCACAAAAATACACTTCAATTGTCAATTCATATAAAAAACTACACATTTATTGTCATTACACATTGCAAAATTTCAGTAGCCTTTAAAAGCATAGTTTTGTGTAATTGGTTCCCAGAGGTGTACTTTTGTTTTTGTACCTATTTCAATGAAAATGTAGTTTTAGAAAACTGTTTCTACTTTCTATGAAGTGTAGTTTTGCGATGATTTTCCAATCATTGTGTAGCTTTGTGGGTTCACTGCAGTATAGAAACTATAGATACCCTTACTCATATTTGAATGAGAATAAATTGTGGTATTGTGCGGCCATATATGCTCATACTTGATAGTACTTGACCATTGCTGTTGGTAGATACTCATCAATTATATATTACATGTTTTAACAATTGTTGTTGTTCTTGTTTGCTTTGACCTAACTCTTGCATTTTTGTTTGAAATGCTGTAGCTGAGTACCTGAACACTTGCACTGTTACGCTCTTATAATCCCTCAACTTGTGTCATCCTCACCACAATATCTCAATGATGTTGTTGCTTAGTACTTGAATCATGGCTGTGCGAAGCTAGTGAGTTCCTTGGCACGGGTCAAGGTTTTTGAATGCTACAGTGCTGCCAATTCTTTCAAACCTTATTTAGATTATATTAAATATCTATTGCATAAATACTGCAAAACTATGTTGTAAAATTAGTTAGATCTGTGCTTGTTGATATTTGCCCCTGTGCAGGAGTTCTAACTGGCACATATGAATAAAATGCTATCATGATCCATGATACCCTTTAAGATGGGTTTCTGTTAATGAGGAGAGAAAGAATGCACTCTATTGTTTCTTGTCAAACTCTTTAGGTACTTAAATTTCATATTAAAGAAGTACAAGAACAACATGAGTATCTAATCAAGTAGAGTTGTGGAATAGCAGACTTTTGTTGAACAGAGAGAAGTCCCTTTGCATGGTGAGTTATAGGATGGAATGGTCTCATTGGAGGTATAAAGGTGGCAGTGGTATAATGCACATGTCTTGTTGCAACCAATCGCGCTTTACTAGCAACCCTGTCCTGAATCTTGCAACATTTTCTACCAGTTATTTTTGTTTGCACATCAACAGATAGTTGTGTATAATGCCTTTTTGTTAATTCTTTTGCAGTTTCTGCCACTGCCGATGATTTCTGGCTATTATGTTGCAAGGTTCTTTACTAAGAAAAGCTTGTCATCATACTTTACCTTTGTGGCACTTGCAAGCTTGATGGTCCTTTGGTTTGTGGTGCACAATTATTGGGATCTGAATATTTGGCTTGCTGGTATGCCATTGAAGTCCTTCACGAAGTATGTTGTTGCAGCTGTCATCATGGCAATGGCTGTTCCTGGTTTGGCACTTCTCCCAACAAAACTTCGCTTTCTTCTGGAACTGGGTCTTATTGGTCATACATTGTTGCTATGCTACATCGAGAACCGATTGTTCAACTATGCCTCCATGTATTACTATGGATTTGAAGATGATATCATCTATCCTAATTATATGGTTTTTATTACAACCTTTTGGGCTTGGCTCTTGTAAGAAGATTATATGTGGATCAGAGACTAGGGCCCAAAGCTGCTTGGATTTTAACTTGCCTATATTCATCAAAATTAGCAATGCTGTTTATGACATCAAGATCAGTTATATGGGTCTCAGCTGTTCTGCTACTTGCTGTTACCCCCCTTTACTTCTTTTACAGGTATTTTCTTAAAATCTAGTGTTTTGATAGAAACACCAACAAAATTTTTGTTCCGCAATTTTTGTTGATAAATTCTTCTTGCTTGTGACTTTCAGAGACAAGTCCAAAGGAGCTTCTAAGATGAAAGTCTGGCAAGCTTATTTCCATGCATCTGTCATAGCGTTTTCTGCCTGGCTCTGTCGGGAAACAATTTTTGAAGCTTTACAGTGGTGGAATGGAAGACCTCCTTCAGATGGTTTGTTACTGGGTTCATATATTCTGTTGACAGGAGTTGCATGCATTCCAATAATCGGTCTCCATTTCCCACATGTTCAGGTAGTTGTTTGTTACCTTCGTTCTTGTTAAAAAGGCTAATCATCCTACTGCTTACAACATATTAGATGTTGTGATATTTCTATGCTGTTATCGTTTTATTTTCAAGCAATATTTTGTGAAGGGCTGTTCATTTCCAGAGTTTTAGCATGATGTTAGGTGTTCTTACAATGGATAATTTACTCATTTTTTACACTAGGAATCTATAGATGTGTTTAGAGGCATGCAACTGGACTTGCAGTCATATTTAGTGTCAGACTGTGAGAGCATGCATATTTTTAGGACCACATGGCTAAATCGATAGAGGCAAGGTCAGACTAAAATGTATCAAGATCTCACTTGCAATGTGGAATATCAAACCTATCTTGCTTCCCTGGTAATTTATGAACTTCGCAAATTTAAAGAAGAAAAGATTTAGTTTACTTCATGGGATGCATTAACTTTGAACTGAAAACAGAGCCTAATGGTTTCAAAGTTTGGCCATGTATGGTCTGAATTGCTGACATTATTTTGTTAACTTGAAAGCGATAATCATTTCATTCGATGGATTATATTTTACCATTACTGAAGAGTTTTCAAATGATCAGGATGTGAGTTTTATAACGCTAAAAGATATGCTTTGCCTGAAATGGCTGTGATGCATGCAACAACATATAATTATGGATTTGGGACACCATAATTCAAAATTTGAACTTTTTTTGGACTATCATTTATCTCTGGAATTTTAGTTATGTAATTCCCAATTGTGGTTTTACTTCCTTAACCAACCATAAGAAATAGTCCTAGTAGCTTCTGTTTTTTTGGAGTGTTATTAAGTTATATTCGTTCCAGTTGGATTCAAGTGTCATTTGAGCTGAGAACCAAATGATCAAGAAACACTGACGTTCAATTCAGTCTTTCCACTGATACCCCTTTTAATATGATTGCATGCTATAGTTAACACAAGCTCTGCATTATTGCTTGCTCCAGCACAAAATAGCATGATTTGAAGTGAACCGCATGTTCACTGCTGTGTGCTCCTTGGTTAGTGGAGTGAACTCTGAAACACAACTTAAAACTGATTGCAGGGAGTATGGCCCACATATTTCTGATTCCTGTCAATGAAAAGGAATAATTTTTTTTGCCTCTTGTTTCTGTAATTGAATTTGATTCCTCTTTACCGAAAAGCATCTTCAAGTTAAAGATTGAACCATACCTCCTGTTTTTATTACTTCCGTTTACCCTCTCTTATGCTACTTTTTGCTCTATACCTGTCTACATCTTACAAATTCTTTGTTGCTGCACCAATTGATTATAGTTTCAATATTTCCTTGCAGTCAGCAAAGAGATTCCTGGTCCTTGTTGTGGCTACAGGCCTTCTCTTTGTTGTTATGCAGCCTCCTATTAAGCTATCATGGGTATACCGGTCGGATTTTATCACAGCAGCACATTTATCTGATGATGACATTTCAATATATGGGTTTGTAGCATCTAAGCCCACATGGCCGTCATGGCTGCTCATCGCAACTGTGGTACTTACACTAGCAGCAGTTACATCCATCATCCCAGTGAAGTATGTTGTTGAGTTGAGGGCTTTGTATGCAGTGGCAGTTGGGATTACACTAGGCATCTACATATCTGTTCAGTACTTCTTCCAGGCAATTGTTCTGTATCCTCTTCTTGTTGCAACAATTGTCTCAGCGGCAGTCTTTGTCGTATTCACGCATCTTCCTTCTGAATCGAGCACAAGGGTTTTGCCATGGGTGTTCTCTTTCTTGGTAGCTTTGTTCCCAGTCACCTATCTGCTTGAAGGACACTTAAGATCCAAAAGTTTTGCAGATGAGGATGAAGCAGAGAAGTTCACCAACATGTTGGCTATAGAAGGGGCTAGAATGTCACTTTTGGGTCTCTATGCTGCTATCTTCATGATTATTGCATTAGAAATCAAGTTTGAGCTGGCTTTGCTATTGCGTGAAAAGGCTGCAGACAGAGGTATGCATGGTCCATCTAGTCGGAGTTCTGCCTTCCCACCAAAAGCAAGGCTGCTCCAGCAACGAAGAGCTCATGCTGCACCAACATTCACCATCAAGCGGTTGGCAGCAGAGGCAGCATGGATGCCTGCTATCGGCAATGTTTCTACTGTGCTGTGTTTTGGCATCTGCCTGGTTCTAAATATAACACTCACTGGTGGCTCGAACCGTGCTATTTTCTTCCTGGCACCCATCCTTCTGCTCTTGAACCAGGATTCAGATATCTTCGCAGGATTTGGTGATAGGCAGCGCTATTTCCCAGTAACAGTTTCTATTTCTGGTTATTTATTATTGACAGCATTGTATAGGATATGGGAGGAGACTTGGCCTGGCAATGGAGGATGGGCTCTTGACATTGGGGGCCCAGGCTGGCTGTTTGCTGTGAAGAATTTTGCTCTTCTTGTGCTCACTTTACCGAATCACATACTCTTCAACCGCTTCATGTGGGATTATGTCAGACAGACAGATGCCAAGCTACTGCTGACGCTACCTCTCAACTTGCCTTCGATTATAATGACAGACATACTTACTATTCGGGTGTTAGGATTGCTAGGAGCTATGTACTCTCTTGCCCAGTACATGATATCAAGGCGTATAAGAATTGCTGGGATGAGATACATTTGAAATAGGACATGTAACTTTCAAGGTAAATCTGGTACACCTTACCAAATTGCTGCCAGTAGAGTCTGGTTTCCTGAAGCCACCTTTCAATGCATCGCTTGCAGGCTCTCACTATACATCAAATTCTTTCAAAGCTCTGGAACATTGCCTGGTCGGCTCGGAGCAAAATTGTGCCTTGTAGCAGAGAGAAACAAGGGTCGAATGACTTTGCTTTTTTGTACTGAATGAACTGTATACTTAGTGTTCGCTAAAGGTGTTGTCGCAGATATAGATATGTTTAACTGCAGATATGAGATGACATCACCGTGGCCCCTTTGAACTTGTGATGACGCAAAGTTTTGCAAGAATGCTATTCGATAAGCCTGAGCAGAAGACTTTGATGTAAGATGCTGATTATGCTTTTTTTTTTTTGTTCCAGCTCGTGGGCTTGCTTTTCTGATTCCTTTAAAATTGTGCTTCTGTAAGCCTTGTAGCACTGGGACTGGCTCATAGCCTGGAACAGGAACCTGGAACTGGCTCATAGCCTGATATCCATGGTTCGTCTTAAAGCTAGAGGGAATAGGAAAGAAATTTAGCGGGGCCGAACTGGCACAGAAACTGGCTAATATACCACGTCATAGCAGCCTCCGAAATCTAACGATTAATCTTTTTAGGTGCTTGACATTTAGAAAAATGTCTTCTAATATTGCTATATTAATTAATATAATAGCTTAGAAACAATCATTTTAGCTGCTTGACATTTAGAAAAATGTCTTATAATATTGCTATATTAATTAATATAATAGCTAGAAACAAAAAACAGTTTTGGGGTCAGAAACGGTTAGGAGACTCGGGCCAAAATATTCAGAGGGAGAAAGAGGGTAGATAAGAATAATGGGCATGTTTGGTTGGGTTCTAAAACTTGCCCAACTAAAATTAAGTCATACCTGATTCTCAAAAAAAAAAAAAAAGTCATACCTACAAATTTTGGCTATTGATTAATTTACTACTAAAAATTTGCATAATAATTTCTATGGCCAAAGTCATGGTAAAGCTAGAGAAAAGTACTCAATACTATGTTATGGCACTAAATGCATTCATATATTTTTTTTGTCCTATAACTTTAGCAAGCCTAAGTTTTGACTTGCCATGATTTTGGTTGGTTAAGTTTTAGAACCCAACCAAGCAGGCCCAATGTCTCGGTTTTGAGGAAGACAAATTAGAGACATTCATGGAGAACTGATTGGGATAAACACAAGGTAAGGCGTGTTTCGATCTTTAGACCCTGCTTGCATCGCCTGGCTGAGCTAAAAATTGGAAGGAAAGAGGTGTTTGGTTCACAAGTAAGGTCACCATGGGTTTCATGCTAGCAAGCTTTTGCTTGCTTTCTCGCAAGAGTCATTTTGGCTCGCCTACCCTAACAAAGCAAGGCTTGCTCACGCAGGCAAGGTGAGGCGAGCTGAACCATAGAACCAAACATGTCCTAGTCTTCTGGTCTTTTGTTTTACACCATGGATCCTACACACTATAGCTTGAGTTTCGATGGGCGTGCTTGGTTCTAGAGCCGGCCTAGCCTCGTCGGGCAAGGCGAGCCTAACCTTGCCCTGCAAGAGAGCGAAATTTGCTTGCCCCTTTCAGCAAGTGAAATCCGGAATACATAGGTTTCGATACACTTGCCTGGAAACCAAACATTCACCCCGCACAAACTTCTTCACCTCCCACATGAACTTCTTACTGGGCGAGGCCACATAATATCAGCAAGGATACCAAACAACGCTATTGTGTTGTTTCTGTTGCGAAACAATAACACCTTTCTTTTTAAGAGATGATTTCATTTTCATATATTGATTTTAGATATTAGAATTAGGATTACACATCTAATCATATCATCAAATGGAAATGTATCCTTTGGTTGTGTTAGTGAATGGTTGGTTAGGACATGACACCATTTCAAAATACCCATCACACATATATATTCCAACAGAGATCAATGAAAGTAGAGTAGCTTTAATCCTTTGTTTAGTTTCTATTTATTTTTTATCATTTTCAGAGATGGAAACTTGTTAAAGAAAGAAAGTTCGAGATTCATGTGGCTCATGGGTAAACGCACTTTGAAACAACACAATTAGCTGCACATGGGCTCAAGCGCCGGCTTTCTCCCCAGGGTAAGCCCTTCTCAACCAGTGGCGGAGGAAGCATTAAAACTAAGGTATGGCGAAGTTTGTAATATAGATATGAAAGGTAACAATGTCCAGTGCATCGTCATTCAATTTACCAAAGCGTGTAAACACACAAATGCCAAATATTTGTGTCAAAATTAACATGTAAAACATTGCAAATTGTAATAGGTAATGATAAACCTCGTTGATATCGTGCTTTTGCTTTCTTTTCTAATTTTGATCCGGTGCTTCGTGTCGCGCGGGGATAGGCAACAGACGATAGCAAAGGTCACCACCCATGGATGTGGTTGTGGTGAAGATGGTTATGGGCACAAGTGGGCCACGGTAACACACATCATTGGGCCCAAATAGAATAACGGTTCAGTTAGCCCAAGTCTCTCCTTTCTCCTGCCGAAGGAGCTTCTCTCAGAGTCAGCCATGGTGAACGCCAAACATGGACGCATGACCTGCAATTCGCAGTGGATATCCACGCCAGAATTGAGGTATGGCTCCTCCGCCCCTGTTCTCAACCTGACAACTTTCGAGAAAGGAAAAATTCATATGACCTTCCTTAATTATTGCGCAAGTTCGGTTTACCTCCATCAATCGGGAAAATGGATTTTTAGACTTCTTTAACTTTTGAAACCATCAGATTTGGCTCCCTGAACGGTTTTGAAAGCAGTTTTGAACTAACATGGTGCTACGTCAGCCGTCCTATATGGCATCACGTCATCTCGAGTGAGTTAAATCAGACTTTCACAATACCTGAGAGAGGTTAAGTAAACTTTATTAGAAACTTGTAAGAATATTCTTCAAAAAATTTATTCAAATATTTTTAAGGAAAATATGCACTTAAAAATACAATAATATCAGGAATCACTGGACCAACATCGGTAGCTAGCATGCGGCTTTCTTAGATTCCCGAAACGTTGTCTGCAACTTAGCTAGCAACATCTAGATGGAAGCAATTGTTTCCTTGTTCACCATTATCGTTGTAGATCTGCAACACACATGATTGAGTAGGAAGACAGTTTGGATGGGCTCGAATGCTAGGTTTCATGCATTTTCTAAAATCATGCTCTATATTATGGTGACTAGATTAACAACATGAAGTCGCTTTCATATTTTCCGAAGTTAAAATAAATTTTCTATGAAATTTTTCTAAGGTTAGGTCAGATTTTAGTATTTTTATAAATGGATATTTATTTTAGAAAATATCGGAGTATTTCTTGAAAAATTATTTCTACAACTTTTTGTTAAAGTTTGATAGATTTCTTCAAATTATTTCAAAAGTCTAATTTACCTTCCTCATGGTTGACGTGACATCATAAACTCAATGGTTTTTAAAGTTAGAAGAGTCTAAAATGTAATATAATTTTATGATTAATAAGAGAGGTAAATCGGGCAATAGACGAGTGACGTCCGATAGAACTTTTTTCCTCCGAGCAACTCGTCCGGCCCAGGCGCTGCCAAGTCGCACCCACGGTGCGTTTCCACGTCCACCTTAACTTCGGCCCGGCCCGGTCCGTTAAGAACCGGCTGCGGTTCGGGGCCACCCAGCAGCCACGTCCAAGACGTTCTCCGTCTCCCCGTCTCGCTCGGCGTCGGCGGTCGGCCGATCTCACTATCTCTCCGCGCCTCTCGCCCGCCACCCAAGCAGCCATGGCGGCCGCGCTGCTCCGCCGCGCGCTCCACCTCCGCCGCGTGCTCCCCTCTCCCGCCGTCACCGCCGCCGCACAGCGCCTCGCCCCCACCTTCTCGACCACCCCGGCCCCGACGACCTCCCAGCAGAACGCCGCCACCACAACGATCGACCTCTCCTCCGACGAGAGCCGCCGCCGCCTCCTCAACAGGTGCGTGCCCGTATCTTACCCCGGTCGCCGGTGATGGTTCGCGCTTGATATTCCGTCTGCCCCCTTCGTTGAATCCCGAGTCACGTACGGTGCTTTTACAGGTTGGTGTACCGGAGCAAGCAGCGGGGGTTCCTGGAGCTGGACCTGGTGCTGGGGACCTGGGTCGAGCAGCACGTGCACGGCATGGACGAGGCCAACATCCGCGCCCTTCTGCAAGTGCTCGACCTCGTAAGCTCTCCTGCCTTTGGTGTGGGCGTGGGCCGCGTGGCCGACCAATCCCTCTTCCTCTCTCGCTTCCCAGGTTATCTGTGGTAGTTGCTTCAGCGGTTGGAGAATTATAGCAGGAGGAGCAGGGTAACGGGAAGGGGACAGAGGCTTAAGGAAGGAGACCTGTTCAGCTCTCTATTTGTTGAACATGCTGAGGACTGGTTGCTCAGTCCTTTAGCGTATTCCCCATCTCAAGTTGTTGGTTCCAGGGTTCTAGTCTAATTTCGTCGTCTGGTTGTTCATCTCTGCCATCCTGTTCAGAGTGTTTGTGCGTCAATTGGTTAATTGATTGTGCTGGTTAGTTGCTGAGTAATCTGGTATATGGTTTCATGTTAAACCATGCTGTTCCCTCACTCCTCAATCCTCATGTATGTTAGCAACATTAGGAGCCATACTTGATCGATGTAGCTGAAAGTGGCTTTGTTGTTAGATGGCCAAATCATGTTCTAGCATTTCATTTTTTAAATAAAATTTCTAATCGCTATTCTTCCATTCGAATAGCCTTAAAGGTTGAATTTTCTTATTAGCATTTGGAGCTGTGCTTGATGATGTCAAATTATTTGGATTTTGGGAACTACACAGAACAGAAGTCTCCTGAGTCAAGGTCACATGAATATAAAAGCTCCTATATTAAGGTTACACGAGTGTAAAACCTACGGAGTATGATAGTAATTTATGATTCATACTGGATCATGTTTATCCTGCTCTATTAAAATAAATATCAGTTGCTACCTACCAGTTAGTC